TCGAAACATGAGTGAAGCTTGATCTCTTTATTCTTTGTGCGTTTGTTTATCAAAGCTGACTAACATCTTGCAATTATACTTAAACAGGAAAAAAGGTTAATGAACTATGACACTGTGGATATAAACTATCTCAATTCATAAATCACGTCATTATAGTAGAGGAAACCCACAAACAAAATACTATAACTTTTGTGGTTAATTCGTTCATGCTTTTATAATATCATAGTTCAGATATCACTCTTTCTCAGTATATGCCTCATTACTCTGGAACAAACTCCCTAAATACATCCAAAAAAGCCCCTCTATAACTTCTTTTAAAAAAAAATTAAACCAGTACCTTCTGTCACAAATTGGTCCTTAATTTTATTATCAGAACCACTATTTTTATGTATTCCAAATGCATACGATTATATTTATACTTTAATATGTATGTATATATATGTATATGTGTATATAGTATGTATAATATGTAAGTTATTGTATATTTATCATTATAGATATGTGTCTTTTTTATCTTATTTAATTGTATAATTATTTATAATTTTATCTTAAATCAATTGCACACTTTTAATCCCGTCATATAACACTATTTCTTACTACCATAGATAGGTTGGCTGGAAAAGATCTCTTCTAAAGATACGTCCATCTTTGCCCACATTGGTCTCTGTATTATCTGTGTTACTCTGTTAATATGCAATAAAGAATATAAAGATATTGAGGTAATACATTTGCTACGGATACATAGTAGATTTAAGATGTATTTAATTTTTCAATTCAATTCAATTTTTTGTTAATGACCTCAAAACGTCCCACTTGATTACAGATTACTTCGCCAATGTCACGTAGAATAAATGAATTTATGTACTTATTCCAGGATATTTTCGAAATCCGAGAAGATTTCTCTTTAAACTACTATTTTTCACATACATTTTATGATATTTTTAGATATAGGTATGTATTATTTTATTTAACATATTATATTTCTTTTGACAGTTGTGTTAATGAGCCCGCTTAGGGAACCAAGGGAAGTGAATTCTTTAGATATAGCAAATCTTTTCTTGTGCGAATCATTTTTAACATAAATACCGCTTATATACATTTATAACATTGTGAGTAAATCTGCATGTCTGCAAGAACCTAATTAGTTTTCAAAACACATGTGAAGTCCGCCAACCTGCACTTATCCAGCGCGGCGGAATGTGGCTGATCCCTCATTGAGGGAAGGCCTGTGCCCAGCAGCGTGAAAATAAACGTTGAAATATTATAATTATACTTATTTCGATCCATAATTGAATTATTTCGAGCACTAAAAATCAGCAATACGGGCTTTATAGAATTTCCTTTAATCGCATTCCCGTTGCTCGCAATATTTCATTTATGGAAAAAATTACTATTATCAGTCATAAATAAGGGTTGTCCTGCTTAGCCACGGCGGGCGATATTGGACGCGTAAATCAACATACTATGTTCTGAATAATAAATTTAATAATGTTCAATGTAACTACCACATGCAGGGGTCATGATATTTGAAACTGTGAAAGTAGTACGAGTAAAATATATTTTATGGAAAAATATCAAAACTATCTATGTAGTATTAATATAATTAGTCTATGTACTAATTATTTGACCTTTGCTGTCTTTTAGACTATCAATTTTCAGTAACTTTTTGAACTTCAGTTAAATTCAAAGCACATTTAATTTATTTAACTCCAAGACCCTGCGTCCTCCATCAAACCATTCGTTAGGAGTGAATTATAATTTTCTAATTTAAGTCAGACCTTTAAGGGGGTTATTAGGTCACAATAGGTGATATATAAACATACACGAAAAGGCAAACGATACCTTTTCCGAAGTCGGTTAAATAATATTTTTTCCACACAACATACTCATAGAAAGCGTGACAGCTAACGCTAATATTAAATGGCGATATTTCAATTTGCGTCTGCGATATTAAAAAACATTCCTCTTTCTAAAATGAAAATTAACTAAGAAGCAGAGTTTTAATTAGAAATGTTATTAGTTTTTCTACGTATTTAAGCTGCAAAATAAACCTTTATTGTAAGAGGCTATCTCGCCTGCTGCTAGCATCGGCTCACTTAATTGATATTATAGCTAAATCCACTGAATTTATCGTTTAACTAACATTAAATTAGTACTACTTAGTACTTACAGAATATTATTTTGTTTTAACAAAGTAAAATTAGAATATTACCTATATTCTAATATAGGCAAGACATAGTCATAATAAAGATACCATTTGCATTATCCTACTTTAATATTATAAATGTGAAAGTTTGTGAGGATGGATGGATGTTTGTTACTCTGTTACGTCAGAACGGCTCAACGGATCTAGATAAAATTTGGGATAGAGATAGATTATAGTCTGGAATAGCATACAGATTACTTTTTATCTCGAAAAATGTACAGTTCCCGTGGAAAAGATTTATTTTTGTCTAGAAACGAATCCGAAGCGAAGCTAGGGCGTGTCGTTAGTTATTTAAAAAATAATAATATTTTAAGGAGTAGGGGGTGAAAGTTCTTCGAATCTTGGGCCTAACGTCACGGTAACCATTTTTACTTTACCTTGATAACTAGCAAAACTTACATGTTTATCATTATTGATAAAAATGCCAAAAAAAGAAAATATATCTGGTTCGTGTAACGTTTAGGCCCAATTTTGCTCCTTTCCTTTATAATTTTGCCAGGACACAATGATGACAATAAAAATCAAACTTTCACAGCATCATGAGGAAACTTGCATGTCTGAGAGAACCTAGTAAGTTTTCAAAAGACACGTGAGGTCCGCCAATCCACCCTTGGCCAGCGTGGTGGACTATGGCTTGATCCCCCTCGTACTGAAGGGATACACGCCAGTTATGCACGATTTACTCCAGATAGTAAATCAAAAGAATGATAAGCAAAATAACTTATATGTTTGATCAAGCTTACAATTCATTCAAGTCAATTCAATTTTCTTGTTTATGGTTTCTAAGCGTGCCAGTTGAGCCCAGAATACTTCGTCAACTCAATAATTTATTAAAATATACCAATTTGTGACTTATCAAAGCTCAAATACAATGATTTTACTAGTAGCCATTGAAAAGTTTTATTATCCATCTACTGGCTCAATCAATCAGCTCGTCGGTATCAAGTTAATATTTCAAAGTGTATTTTTAATTCTTATATTTATATCTATACTAGCGATTCACCCTCACTTCGCTCGGATTCGTCCCTAGGTTTTATCGTTTTAACGGTTGGTATGGAATAGATAGACTATGTGATTCTCTAGCCCTCCAACTATATCTACAGAAAAAATCTCGCCAATGAGTCACTCTGTTTTGACGTGAAAGAAGGACAAACAAGCAAACTCACTTTCATATTTATAATATTTAAAAAAAATGATATCGAGTGATTTAGTTGGCAAAGTCAATTATTAAGTAATTAAATGCTACCTCAATTTATGCTAATTTTTATTGTTCTTCATTTATTAAAAAAATAGACTATCTATAATACGTTCGAGAAAAGTAAGGAAGACAATAATTAATATAACAAGTGAGATCTGTATCCATAATATTTTTAAATGATAACATAAATATGAAAGTGTGTTTTTTATATTTTTTTACTTAGCTTTGGAGATCTCAACGTCAAATGATAATCGTAAAATTTACTCATGTAGTGTATTTTCCATCATCTAGACGTTTTGCATCATCCATAGATTTTTAGCATATTTTAAGGACCGAGTTAACATGCATTTTAATGAACAACTATAAATACTGAAAGTTATTAGAGAACACGCGGAAAAAAAAGCTAAGCGAGAAAAAATTCTAACAAGGGCAAGGGCAGAGCCAAGCAGGGTACATCACTAGTGCAATATAAAACTATTTTGATTATGATGAAAATTTGATAAAAGTATGAATCACAAGCAATCAGAAAGTAAAAAGGATTTTTTAATATTCATTTTTAATAAAGTTGCTATAGTGTGAAGGTCTGAACACTGAACACTACAAACGGCAATAGCGATTCCCCGAATTGTATTCAATTGGCCTTTTATCATGTAAAAATCGTAACTGGAAATACTATGGCTTTGTAGTTTGTTATGAAAGGTCACAATCCACTTTAAAACCGATAACTATGTAAAGTTTTTTTAAGTGTACATAGAAATTGATATTTATACGAGCTTTTCAAATCAAAATATAAGGTAGGTACTAGCGACTTACCTTCGCTTCCCTAGGGTACGTCCCTAGGTACGTTTTATATGAATGAAAATTGTTACTGCGAGTGTATATTGCGAGATAGACATATACTATTGCAGACTGTAAGCTTTTTTATTACCTACTAATTTCTTTCTTCAAATTTCTAATACATTATTTTGATGTATCTTTTAAGGTTTACCCCAGAAGACTCGACGGAATCAATAATTATTGTGTTCTCCTGTGGGAATGAAAGATTTTCCTGTAGTAAAAGGTATCCTAAATGTTGACCCGAGTAATAAGTTAGCACTACACAAAATTTTGTTAAAATTGATTCCCTTCTTTTTGCGTAAAATGCACGCAGATATACAGAGAAACGCACAAACAGACTTACACACAAACAAGCAAGAATTTCACTAACTATTTGTTTTAAGTTTTATGTACATTATATGTAACAGACATTTTTTTTAAATATGTACAGATTTTGCTTTGTTATTATTTGATTATATGTGTAGATATAGTTAGTAAAATACTATTAATTAAAATATTTTTTTTATAAATGCAAATATCTTATGTATTTATTTTTATATAATATTTTTTTAAATGGTAAAGCTAATACTATCTAATTAGGCGTTCATATAATAAAATGGATTAAAAATTGTTATATTTAAAAAATATTGATTTATTTTAAACTGAAATATACTGAAAAAGATAAGAAAGTTGAACTATTCTATTTGCATTGCGGTACGGAGGCGTAGGGCGGCTATAAGGCGGGCTCGCGGCCTCGCCGCGGCACTTCAGTCCGACACGATGAGCCCGACAGCCGCCCTGCTCGCGATACTGGCCGGTTAGTTTCATAAGTTTTACTTTACTACTTTTTACGTCTTTATAAATTTAAAAAAGATAAAGGTAAAATTAGCCAAATAATTCGCAATTTACTCATTAAAGTCAAAATATTATATTAAGGTTTTTGGTCTAGATACTAACGCTATACTTACTAAAAACTCTTTTTTTTTAAATACAATTATTAAGGAAATTATGATTTAGTGACTTTTTCCTTTGTAGTATATATTTTTATTAAAAAAAAATATAAAACATTTTGAGCTATTCTATATTTTTTAATAAAAAAAAATTATTGAGCATAAATTTTCAATGGCAACTTTTACTTTAAAAATAATAATCGTATTCGATTTTTGAATTTGCGCGATATTTTTTATTATTATTACCTTAAAAAAATTAATGTATTTGGTTTTAATTATTATTATCGTCTATGTCTAAAATAAAATTAATAAGTGTGCATAAAATATTTTAGCATGGATCAGTTTAGTGAAACAAAATAAAATAATTTAAATAGAAGTAGGTGATATTACAAAAAGAATTCTTGAAAGAGTGAATCAAAATTTTTTTGTTCTATATAATACATGACTAATCAAGTTTATTTTATATTATAAAAACTTTCAATCAAAGTATGGCATCAAAAAAAGATTATATATACATATAAACTAACAAAAAATATTATTATAAGAGTGAAGTGTTTGATTATATTACATTGAAGTGATTTACAATAAACAAACAATATACAACAGAAGGGATTTGTGGATACATCACGATTCACGATGATTCTGACAAAATATGTGTTCAAAGCTATTTTAAATAATACTAAAGTATATTATAATTCTTATTTCTCACGTAATAACGAATATTTTACTTTTTAAACTTAATATAACTCATATGGGTGAGATAAGAACATTTCGTTACAAAATAAAAGAAAGTTTATAAAATTTTCCTTTAATACCGTAATGTTTTGTATCTACTTGAACTACTTTTCTTCGTTATTTTTCTCAAACTCAGACAGTTTAAAATGCCTAATTAAATTTCTAATTGCTTTGCTTTATAAAATACCCAGAAATAAAGAAAGATGTTATGAAGCAATATTATTAAGCAAGCCAATTATTAAGTAGTTTTAAAAAAGTTAAGTAGATACCTACTTATCTATTACAATACTTTTTATATTAAAGTTATCTAAACCCGATTTTGACCTCGAACGATGCACGTTTAAACAGACAGACAGATTTTCGCTTTTTTAATTGTTTCAACGTTCTCTACGACATCTCTAACACATTTTCTGTAAATCTGTTACAATTTTAATTTCTGAGCATCTGAGCAAAGCTTTCTATATTAGCATATTAATTATATAAAAAGCTAATATCATCACACATGTAAAATTGTAGACTCTGGGTGAATAAACAAGTTCTTCAAACAAGTTTTTTTTTTTCTTTTGGAATTGTATAAAAAGTCAAAATTCTGGGTAATACAAAAGACATCACTGTACATGGTATAAATTTAGAATAATTTACGTCATTACTTTATTTTATATTAATTAATAAGCCAATATAACATAATAAAAGATGAAATTACATCTCTAAGATTTTGTGCGACTCTAATCGGTTTCTTCACCTCTCTATTCAAAATGCCAGGAACCGCCCACCTGTTGTTAAAGGTTTTTCGTGCTTATGTGTACTTAGCTTATGTGACGCTTTTAAAAATATTTTTTCAAAGAAAATTAGATTAAAGTAAAAATTGCAATTAAAAGGCTTTTTCGTTCAAATATTTCGCTGACTTTTTCGCTCTTATCTATAACAAGCAGTGCCCCACGGCTTCGCTCGCGCTAAAACTACAAAAAAAACACTAAAATATAGGTTTCATACAAACTTTCATCTCCTATTTTACCCTCTTAGAAGATGAATTTCAAAAAATGCTAAAACACGTAATTATTTAATTGTATTGAATAACATTAATATCAAGTTTCAAGTAATTCTGATCATAAATATTTTTTGGGTTGTGTAATAACTTGTTTTATCGTGAGAATGAGATAATCTCCCGCGGTAAAAAGTAACCTCCAGCCCTCCAAGTATCTCCACATAAAAAATCACGCCAGTCCGTCACTCTGTTTTAACGTGAAAGAAGGATTAACAACAAACAAACACTTTCACATTAATATTTTTGAAATATGGATATAGTAAGTGTGTCTAGTAATAATTGATGAACGTTTTCGTTTTCCTACAAAAATAATAATAAATTAAGTACAATACTTGTTAATGAGGAAAATGTTATCAACTATGAAAGGTTATTTCATGCCCAATGTACTTATTCTAACGAAAAAATCGCCCATTTGTTCTAAGTAATTATTTGATATGAATCCAAAGCTAATTCCAATAAATAGACAATTTTCCTGAAACCTAAGGCTAACAGTGACTGTAATATACATAATATACATGTAATATACAAACTTATATACAATCTTCCGCAAAAATATTTAGGTTTAATTATAATAAATTCAGTGAAATAATAGCAATTAAAGCAATAGTTAAAATACTATTATAACTAAACGAGAAGAGTTTGTTTCTTTGTATGTAACAAAAATAAAAGGTAAAGGTAGCCCAGTGATAACGAACTCGCTTGGGAAACCGAGTGAAGTGGGTTCAAATCCCGGGTCTCGCACCTCTGATATTTTCATGTGCGAATCATTTCTAACATAATTACCACTTGCCTTACGGTGAACGAAAACATCGTAAGGAAACCTGCATGTCTGAGAGAATCTAGCAAGCTTTCGAAAGACGTGAAATCCGCCAACACGTACTAGGCCAGCGTGATGGACTATGCCTTGATGCCCCTTCGTATTGAAGGGAGGCCCGTGCCCAGTAGTGGGACGTTAAAAAGGGCTGAATACAAATCTCTAAAACTAATACTTCAATTTAAAAAAAAGCTTTTTGCATCATATGGTCTATTCATTGAGAAAAGTTATCTATCAACACCGTACTACCTACTTCTAATGGTGCGGAGTAGTTAAACAAATAAAATATGCGGGCGAAGCCACGAGCACCACTAGTACTAAAATATTATTTAATAATAAAAGTATTTTAAGCCAAAACAAAAGCTTAATAGGATTTTTATATTTTTTTATTATTAACTTAATGTTTTAGTAACAAAATTCTTCAAAAAGCGTAATAAGATTTTCAGATTTTTTTATTATTGCATTAATGTTTTAATAAAAAAATTCTTCAAATAAGTTTAACTGTTAGTATGGGGAAAATAAACAGAAAGGTTTAATTAAAACTTCTTTTATAAGCAGTTAATTGTATCATGAAACGTTGCATCATTGTACTTTCTATAATTAGAAGTTTTCAATTCATCACGATGCGATAATATTTGTTTTGATAAAAAAACATTAATTTTTACCGACGAATAAATAATAAGTTTTACTAAGTTTTAAATAATTCATTCCTTTATAAAAAAAAACTAGCGAATTACCCTCACTTTGCTTGGGTTCGTCCCCAGGAGGATTCTCCATACAAACGTTCATCCCCATTTTCACCCCTTTAATGGATGATTTCCGAAAAAAAAAATTCTATGTCCTTGCCAGAGTCTGAAACTATCTTCTTACTAAATTTCATGTAAATCGGTCCAGTAGCTTTTGAGTTTATTTTTTACAGACATACATACTCGTATACCATTCTTTCCTCTTTATAATGCTTAGTAGTGTAGTTATGGAATGTGCTTAATAATACAGGCAATACATAATCGATATTGATTTCCTATTTAAATTTAAAATATATAATGTAAGAATCATAGAATGACTTCTTTTATACGAGCTTTATATACAAGTTACATTAAGAAATGTGGTTTAATTTCGTGTTAAACGATTATGTATTAAACACAATATCTCCATATTTAACACATATTTGACACTCTCACTCTACATTCGACACAGGGACATTTACCTTTTGAGCGATTTAAAAAAAAATCAGGAAGTAAGATGGTCTCATATAAATAAAAAAAAGTTTATCCCGAAGGATAAAATACTTAATTATAATACTTTTAAGTTGATTTTGAATTCGGTACAACTTTCTCGTTAAAAAGTTATTATTTGATACTATATTTGTTTGCCCTTTTTTTCAAAGGATCTCGTCTTACCCTAGTCTGAAAAAATGTGTATTCAAATATTATTTACTCTGTTAAATTTTAGATAAAAGCTCAAGATAAAAATATATACATGGCCAGTGCTCTGCCCCATTTTCTTACCATGATCTTATCTATTTATCTTATAAATTAAAGCCACCAAAAGCAAAATCAAGAATCCTTCTGCAGCGCAATTTTGGTGATATCAATTTAGAGAGATTGCATGCGGATGCTGAAAATATCGACTGGTCGGCTGTTACTAATGCAAGCACAATTGATGAGCAAGTGTCAATCTTTAACTCGTTGTTAATCCAACTGTATGACATCCATGCTCCGGTCCGTCCTGTTCGTATGAAGCATCTTCCGGCTCCGTGGCTTACACCCGAAATAAAAAAACTCCAAAGAAAAAAATTTGTAGCGAAGTCAAAGTACGAATCTAATTCTAATGATAGCAATAAGACTAAATATATTAAGGCTCGCAATCGTTGCAATATAGTGTGTAGGGATAGTCAACGACGCCATATTTATAAATCGGTCATCGAAGAAGATGATCCAGATAAAATCTGGAAGTTTCTCAAGTCTCTTGGAGTAGGTAAATCTAAGCATAACATAAATCCACATAATATAGACTTAAATCTCATAAATCAGCATTTCTCTTCTTCGGCTACTATTAATAGTACAAATAAGTTAAGCACACTAAACTATCTTTCTACTTTACCTACTCCTGATTTTCCCCGTTTTACTTTTAGTCAATTTTCCGAAAGTGATGTTAAGAGAAATATTATGGCAATAAAATCTGATGCTGTTGGGGCAGACTGTATAAGCCGTAAAATGATTCTTCCTTTACTTAATCATATCGTACCTATTATTACTTTCATTTTAAATTCC